AATGTATCTGTGTTCATTAAAGTACAATTTCTTTGAAGAATTTTGACATTTACTCATTTTTCTAAAGGCACTGCTATTATTTCGAACACAACTGTATCTGTCTGTCTATAGAAAAAAAATGTATATATTTTTTTTGAGAGAGAGAAATTTTATTTTACCAAAATAGAACAATGAAATATACTATCTTATTATAGTCTACTTAATATGGGCATAGTGGGTTAGAGCAGGGCGCTTGTGCTCTGAAAAGGTTGCAAGTCAAAATGGACTGCCATATGCACCCTGAGCTCTCCTTTACATCTGTATTGCGGAGAGGCTACTGCGCATGTGCAACTTTTAACGTGAGTCGATTGGCACAGATTTTTTCGCCATGGGGGGAAATACGGAACCAATCCAAAAACAATGAAAACGGCTTTACTCATCATTGTATATTAAAATATAAGATAATATTTATCTTGCACATCTAAAAAAATATATTAATTTATATTTCTAAAAAAAAAAAAAAAATATATATATATATATATATATATATATATATATATATACATATATATATATATAATATTTAATTTTATAACTTTTTTTTTTTATTATGTTTTAAACAAGGTCATTGGGTGGGTGAGGCCGCGCCCTACCAGCCGTCACAAGTGTAAACATTTTCTGTATTTCTGAATCTCTTGCTTGAAAGAAAATATTGTTAGCAAAACAAGGATTGTTAGAGATACTTTTATAGATGCACATAAAAAAAACACCTTGACAGATATTTATGTTGAACAACTTAACAAATGACTAAAAAGTTTATTTACTTCATTAACTTTACTCCATTTTTTTTTTTTTTTAACTTTACTTACTAATTTTACTGAGATTGATGCTTTCAACTCACTTTTTTTGTTAACTTACATGAATTTCCATCAATAGCTCATAGAAACATGTTTGTTTAAAACTATGTTTTAAATAAAAAAATTGAGTGATTAAAATGTCAAAACAAAAGTGTGGATTTGATTGAAAAAAAACATTTCAAACATCTACTTAACAGTTGTTACTTTTAGAAAATACTTTAAGTCTAATAAAACAGATTGAGCAGAAAGCATTTTTTTTTTAATGTCTGTATGTTCTATAGGCAAAATCAAGGTCTTATCCAAAAATGTAATGCATCAACTATTAGTGTTGCACCGATACCGATACCAGTATCAGACGGGGCCCCGATACTGCCCTAAAATGGTGGTATCGGTATCGGCGAGTCCAACAAATAGGGCACCGATACCATTTTGAGAGCCATAAGTTTATTCAACTATTGTCACCCCCTCCTGGTAGGCAATAAAAAGTTCTACTGGATTCACTTTGTATTAGATTTTTTCCTGCTTCCCAAAGGTAGGCAGCAGCTTGACAAAGCCATGATGGCTATTTTTTATTTATTACATGATTATGGTATCGGCCGATACTGCACAGCCAGGTATCGGGTATCGGTATCGGGGCCAAAAAATGGCATTGGTGCAACACTATCAACTATAAAGATTACACATTTTGAAAAAACTCAAAGGTGAAGATAATCCTAAAACATTTTAAACTTCACACCGCCTTCACACCTCTTTTCAACATTTTTAAATGTGGCAAACTTTAAAATTGTATGTATTGTTGTATGTATTTTTCTTGTATTCTGTATTGGATGCATTAGCTTGAGTTACAGCTTAGCTAAAAAAAAAAAAAACAGGGATGCTGTTGCTCTCTGAAACAGGGGCAGATAAATGGTGTTAATTCAATCCAAGCATAAAGTATTGTTAACGTTAGTTGAAATGCATAAACATATTACTGAAATAAGTGGGGGAAAAAAACTTCAGAAACCATGGCAAGAGTTCAGCACTAGATAACTTTTCTGAGTGAATGCACAAAGGCTCAAGCCTTTACTGAGATAGACTCACAGGCAGCGTCCTGGACTCAACAGCAGATAAATGCGCAACATACGCATGAAATTAAATTCACTTTAATGACAACATTTATGAGGTTTGATATGTTTGACTTACTATTTAACGAAATTTATAGAGGAGGTTTAGCCTCGCTAGTATTATAAAATATCCCTGGTAAGTTTTATTGCCATATTGCCAATAAAGGCTTTTTAATCTTCTAAACGGTATGGATAAATGGTGACAAGGTATTTATTGTAATATATTTCAGAATAGGATTAAAAAAAAATGCTGGAATTAACACAAAATATTCTTTTTCATTTTAAATTAAGGATCAAATAGAGTCCTGAATATTTATTTCATTATTTTTAAACTAAAGGCTCAAATCTAAAATAAGATAAAAGTCTATATCATAAGAAGTCGGATCTTTTATAATGATGTAAGAAAACTATATGGGCCAATTGTTTTTTAATATAGTACCAGTAAGAATTTAAAACTACTTTCACTCCTGATCTTCACCCTTTTACTTATTAAAATTGTGTTATTATTCGTCTATTTGCATATCACTGTGTGTTAAGAGGCACCAAGGACAGTTATATTTAAATTACAAGAGATAAAAGCACACAGAAACCTTAAAGCGATAATGCTTCTTTACATTTCCCTTAAATCAAAAGAAAACACAGAAGAGATTTCCCCTTATTTCCCCTCTTGTCTGCCGTGTGATTGCCGTTAATCTGATACTTAGCTGCTGGAGCTCACAGACAGTCAACAGGAGAGAAAGCAAAGGTCTAAGATAAAGAGTAAGAGATTTCACTGCAAAGAAAATCTTGGAAGCATCTGGAACTCAAGAAGATAAAGAGATATAGGATAGGAAGTGGATGTTAGAAGATCTGCTGTTTACATTCCACACAGAAACAATATATAAATCTAAAACTTGCAATATCTTTGTAAAACATCCCAGTGACCTTTTCACTGTTATTCTTACATAACATTCTGCTAAACGCCCTCCTTTTCACTGCGTGATGGTAAAACTCTGCAGAAAAGTAGGACTGTTGAAGCAGATGTCAAACACAGAAATAAACGCTGCCGCAGCCAGGATTAACTTCGAAAAATCCCCGATATCTGTCTGAGAGTTAGTTCCTGTTAAACACTGGGCTCAGCTGAGGTAGTCCTGGTAATGATTTGCACCGTGTGCAACTGGATGAGTGGGTGGCTGAGCTTCTGCCTGAAAGAAGCTCACCGAGAGACAAAAGAAAACTGTCATGCATGCAGTGTGTAAGAATATAAAATTCTGACATTGAGTTTTGAGCCTTAAGGTGAAGCTACTCAGCCGGTGAAAAGCATGGACACCTGGGATGGCAGAAAACTGCATTTATGAAGAGATTTTACTTTTCCCAGGCTTTTGCTCTTGTCAGCTTTACCAAACTTGAATAAATACCTGAATTGATGCTAAGTTATTTAGCTGCTCTGGTTCTTTTTTTTTGTTTTTGTTTTTTTGATGACTTTGTGGACAAAATCATCTGATGTGTTACTGAGAAGTAGCCTACAATGTTTTTTTTTTTTGAAGTGACAACAAAAATACCCAAAATAATCATTTCTGTTACCTGAGAAAGACCAAAATGTATAACAAAAAGAAGTAATAACAAAAAACAAAAAAAGCAGGAATGACTTCTTGAAGCAGGGTTATTTCAAATATATATATTTATGAACCGCCAAATCACTGCAAATGTCATCTCAAAGCCCAGCAGCAGCCCAACATGGCTGCTTTATGTTAAACTGTAAAAAAAGGAAATCAAATCCATCTCTCATACCAGTTCCATCCAATCATACAATGAAGTTCAGTAACATAAAGTCCAACTTGATATAAGACAATAAATACCAAAATAATTGCAAGAATGTACAAAGCTTTTCTGTAGAAGGCTTTTAGTGCCACATTATAGTAAACAAAAACTAACTAATCACATCAACAATCATCACTTTGGCAGCAATCGTTTGTCAAAAAGAAAGATGTGACAAGGGTGTGAATGTGGATTGTGGCCTAAAGTGTTTGTGTAGATATGCATGTGTACCTTTACAGCTATGAATGTAGATTTATTTATATGTACATATATGTATATAATCGTGTGTGTGTATATATATATATATATATATATTTATTTATTTTTTTTTGTGTGTGTGTGTGTTGAATATTGGATAAAAAACATAAAAGTTTTACAGTAAGGTTACTTTACCTTAGGTGCAATGAGAAGGAAAGGGGGTATGAAAAATAAGTTTCACTTCTATGAAGAAATAAAGTAGACAATTCACATTAATCAATGTCATTTCTCCAGCTGTATATACCGACAGGTTTATTTGGTGGAGGGCTTTGTTTATGTTTTTGTTCAGGTGAATTTAGTTTGATTGGAAAGTGGACATTGGTTTGGTTTGATGGCAACCTGTCCCTTTTTGTTTGTAGTTGGTGGATTTTATTATTGTTGTTTGACAAAATTTCCTGAAATTGACATTTGTTTCATTTCATCTCATTTCATTTAAAATATTTTAATATTAGCTGAGCTTCATGATAACAATGACCAATTTTTTATATACCGTATATATATAGGACATATTTACACAATCTATACATGCTGGAGATTTTTTTATATTAAACATAATTTTTTGTATTTTTATAAATAAGCCAAGCCATGGTTTTCCTTTTTCTCTAAAAACAGGGAGGTATCGTCCCAGGCCATGCGTTTCCAACGGTGAACGTACCTGACCATGCTCACTACACCATCGGCGTTGTAATACTGGCTGTGGGCATCACAGGCATGTTGGGAAACTTCCTGGTCATATATGCTTTCAGCAGGTATTTGAGGTTATATCTCTTCCTTGCGAAATTTCTGTCAAAACTATTTACTAAAACTGTTTTTCAACCTTTGTGTGTGTGTTTGCAGAAGTCGGAGTCTGAGGACGCCTTCTAACATCTTCATTATCAACTTGGCAATTACAGACTTCCTTATGTGTGCCACTCAGTCACCTATCTTTTTCATTACAAGCATGCATAAACACTGGATCTTTGGAAAGAAAGGTGATTTATAAAGATAATGCTAAATTGCCTCATAAAAAATGTATCTTCTTTTGCAGTATCATAACGTTACATCAAAAATTTTTAAATATTGCATACCTTGACTCTAGTTCATTTATTTATCAAAGGAAGATTTCAAATAGTGGCTGGCTAGCTTAAGTGGTAAGTCACCCATCCTGCAAACAGGAAGCCACACACAGCTGGAGGGAATGAGCTGCCAGTTAGGAAAGGCCCTTCATACTTATGCCTTCACGCATGCTTTGGGGAGCGGTGGCCCGGTGGTAAGGACAGAGGTTCTGAGTAAAAGCCCCACTCCCACGTACTGCCACCCTGGCTCCCTGAGCAAGACCCTTAACCCCACACTGATTCCTGGGCGCCGCACAATGGCAGCCCACTGCTGCAAGGGGATTGGTTCAATGCAGAGAGTTCATTTCTGTTGCTCTGTACTTGTGACAGTGTAATGACTGGCTTGAACCTACACCCTTCTTCCTGAAAGGCACTACCCCCCTGAGCAGCCCATTACAGAAAAATTAAATTGTTGTACAGCAGCGGAATCCTCCATAAAATACCCCCAAATGATAAATTATTTGCTCTAACATAATTATTAATGTTATGGTGGACCAGAGATCTGGTTCTATTGCTGTAGAAAACTAAAATAGTTATTTTATTAAAACAGCTTAAAAAAAGCTCTATATTCAGACTTGCTTTTCCATGGAAACCATTGAAGAAAAAAAAAAACATTATGGAAAAAAAGAATAGAGCATTTAAGCCCCCCAAAAATCCCCCAAAAGTTTTAAAAGACATCAACAACATCTGTGCACTTTCTTGTAATCACATTTAGTTGTGTCAAACGTAGCAATTAGATTTGCAAATGTATTCAGTCTGAGATGGTTTGACCTCAGGTGAAGTGCATTCTTGCTTTATAAAAAGTATATTTAAAAAGGAAAAATGGTAAAATCAAACTGAAAGAATAAAGCATAGCATAGTAACAGTAATGTGTTGCATAAGCTACCCTCAACTGCACTACCGTCCACTGCTTTGCAGATCATCTACAGTTTATAATCTCCTCTTACATAGCCCTAACACATTCCTAATTTGTGTACATTGATGTGATAAGTTTTCTTTACCTTTTGCTTTTAAAGCTTATTTGTGGTTTAAAAAAATCTCTCACAAACACAAACAAACTAGCATTCATGTAATCCACTTCCTTTTGCAACACTTTTTTCATTATAAAGGGCAAATACATATAAAGACATACAGATTTCGGTAAAGATGAGCATAATTGTAGAAGATATATTTAAGAGTCTTCTAAACACTAGATTACCACTTTGAGAATATTAAAGGCAGTGAAAGAGGCTCATTGATCACATCCTAAAGATTTGTTCATCTCATTGCAGCATGTAGTGCCTCAGACATATTATAACCCCTGCAAGCATCTATGTAATTATCTATCATTGTGTGAATGTGTATTTGAATATCCCCTTCTACTTATGTAATCATAGGGCCTTTCAATTAGAGAAAGGCCATCTGAGTTTCTTTTAAGCACTTTTCCAAGAATCTTTATTGTTTCTAACAGAGCCATGAATTATGACAGCGACACAGGTGACTTCAGTTCCCACTACCTTTTTTTATCCTGTAGTGCCTCCATTAGCATTGCCTTTAAAGCTTGAAAATACTTTTGCACAAAGAATGAAAGTAAATGGCAGACAGTTAGATCACATCAGTAGAGAAAAAAAATAAAATTTTTTAGCTTTTAGTTCATTAGTAACTAACCTTCTTAGGCAGATACAAACTAAGATCTCAGAGACTAAGATAAATGCTGGAAGAAAAGTGTCTGGTTTAAAAAAGCAAGTTGTTTCTTTAAAGAAAACGACTTAATTGTTCTAAAAAATATCCAGTCGATAGAGGGATAAAACGATTACAGCAGAAGATAAGTAACAATTAATGAAAGTGATACTAAAACTAAAGACAGTGTACTTATATCAGTACAAACCTAGGAAATGATTGCACAAGCAGGGGCAGAGCTAGATGGGGGGCCAGGGGTGCCCATGGCCACCCTTATTCAATCATTGGCCACCCCTGTGGCCACCCCTACCATTTTTTCCTTCTAATACAGATGGTCAAGTGGAATATTCAAAACATTTAATTTTTTTGTGGGTAATTATGCATCTCAATATATTAACATCAAAGATGATAACTACTGAATTCATGTTCTTTTCAAAGCTAGATTTTGTGTTATATGGGGTAAAGAGAAAATTATGTGTCTCTGCAAGTCATCTGGGAGTCTTCAGTGAAATCAAAGATAAATAACAATTTTAATAAAGACGTATTAAATAATCAATTTATGTAGATATCAGTGCTTATAAATATCAATTTTATGCAGAATGTTTAATTATGCAAGTAGGTAAGTAATGACAATAATGATTGATTTACAGCCCAGAACTCAAAACCAAGTTTTATCAACTATACCTTTTCTCTGGAAAATGTATATGGATTTTTAAATGCGTCTATTTGTTAGCAAAGCCTGTAGGAAAGTATAGTTAGTCTTTAATTAGAAAATATGGATGGTTTGCTCATTAATTATCCTTTTGGAACAGCATAGATTGACCCTGAGGTTCTGGTGCTGATCCGCTTTCAGCCACCCCTCAGTGTACATTGGTTATTGCCCAGCCACCCACCAAAAATTTCTGGCTATGCCTCTGTGCATCAGGAAGGGACTCTATTAAAACTGAAACTGGTATTTTTCGACAAATGTCTGTGAAACTGTTGGCTAACATTATACCTAAGTTATAAAAATGGATAAAACATTTTTTCCATCTAAACTGATTAGATTGTTTTTTCGTTAACATAACTAAGAGTTATCAGCATAAGGATGCATTTTAACCCATGTCAAACAGTTTTGACCAACTCAAAACATAATATGGATGTTTTAACAGACTTTTGTCATCCAATGGTATGCAAACTCAAATAGCATGAGGTGTTAGAAGACTATTAGAATGCTAAAACTGAAAATAGTAAGCAAAAAGTTAGATAGAGTGCTTTGTTACTTTTAGACTAGTTTAGTTTTAAAATTTTACTAGCCTGGAAATGCTATTGCTTCTGCAAAGTGTGGTAAACTTCCCACTGCAACTGCACTGATGGATTAAAAGCTACTAAATTAAGGGGAGTTTCAGGAAAACTAAAATCTGCTGAGCAAAAAAACAAATCAACTGTTAGTAATAGGTGCTGTTTAAAAAAGACCCCACCTTAATATCAACACAAGTCGATAGAAAGAGCATCATATGACAACAAAGACATTTTTAAAACAATTAAAGATTATGATTGCGATCACATTGTCGTTTTCCTGTAAATATCTCAGCTTATCTGTTCCTCTTCTGTTGTCTTCCTCTATCATCTCTCCTCCCCCAGGGTGTGAACTATATGCTTTCTGTGGAGCACTGTTTGGTATTTGCAGCATGATGACACTGATGGTGATTGCAGTGGACCGATATGTTGTCATCACCAGGCCTCTGGCCTCTCTTGGAGCAATGTCTCACAAAAAAGCTCTGTGCTTTGTCGCTGTTGCCTGGGTCTACTCCATGGGCTGGAGCCTCCCACCCTTCTTTGGCTGGAGTGAGTATAACTGTAAATATAAAAAAGCTTAGATTTTTCTTTTATGTTGTTGTTGTTTTCACATAAAAAAAAAAGTTACTCCCGGTATTCTGTTCCAGCCTTGAGATTTTTAAGGCTTCACTGCTTTTCTCTGAGCAAGTTTTCTTTTTTCGGTATTCTTGACCCTGATAGGCTCCAGATTCCTGAGCTTAACACAAAATAAAAATCATAATTTCTTAGCAAATTTCAGATTTTTCACCGGTTTCTGTAAAGCTTTTTATTCAGATTTTAGGTTATTCACATTTTATCTATAAAATCTGATAAAGTGTTCAATTTTTGCCGCATTAAAGTCAAAGACAGAATAGTTGTAAAAATCTCTGTTAGGCTGGTTTGGAGCAATAATGACTATAAAGTCTAACAGCTGATGGGAGGAAGGATCAGCAGTAACACTCTCTTGGCATTTTGTTCTATACATTTTCTATTGTTAAAGCTAAGTAATTATATCAGCAACAGCATTTTTACAATTATAAATATATAAATTGTTTAAGCATCAATTATTAGTGGGGTTCAAACAGCCAGTACTATAAAAATAGTATTCCCTGTGTATTCTCTTCAGATTGTAGATCATTACATTAAACATATATGAGTAATTTTGGTATATGCCCATACCAGAAAAGAAATAACAAACACAGTTCATTATGATAAAACAAGAACATATACTCCAATTGTCTGTCCTGACAGTTTTTTAAGAGTCTTTTTGAGCCTAAATAGAACCCCAGCTCCAGGTGCAATGAGTTACCATAAACAGACATGGCACCATCTATTGGCAGTACTGCTGAACTACCAGAGAGCCAGATAATGACCTTTGACGCAGCTACATTAGTCAGTGGTTCCCAACCTTGGTCTTCAGGAACCCCTCGTATGCATAACGTAATCTTGATAGATATGTGGTAAATATACACAAAAGGTTTTATCCCCAACAGATTCAGCAAAAAAACTGTCATAAAAACAATGTATGCGACGAGAATGAGCAAAAAAAATGTCAAATAACGTGGCTATGTACCTCTTAGTCTTAAGATTTTTTAGATCCATGACGTTCATAACCACCATAAGAGGCTATAAACTCTAGTCACTAGATTCCTTTTTTCACAAAGCAATTAACCAATTAAAATTAAGATTTTAAATTTGTACAGTTTGAAAGATCATAAGTGCAGTAAAAACTATTCTAAAAGCTTTGCCAAAACACTTAATCAGGACACCACTTCCTCTTGTTTAAGATGCAGCAAAAAGATGCTTCCAGTCACTAATATCATCATTATCTCTAACCAACACCTATGAGGCCAGGGAAGAAGCTACACATTGTATGAAGTAAAACAGCAAGTTTTTACTGAAGCTTTGCCAAAACTTGGACTTCAAATAAACCCCCATCATCCTTCTCCCCCACCTTGCACAGAGCTGAGTATTGGCTCTATCCTAGTGTTTAACACATCTGTCTGTCTTTCTTCTATGTGCAAAACTTACAATTTTCTACAAAATTTACTTTATGTGATAAATGGCATGTGTGAATAAGGTTTTTCATTCATATTATTTTTTTAGACTTGATTATTATTATTATTTTCTGTCCAATTCTTAAGTTTGTTAAAGTTCTTATGATGACCTGTTTTACTCCAATATGTTTTCCTGGGCTCAGGCAAAGAAATGTCGTTTATGTATGTAATTCTGATCTCAATGGTTATACAGGAAGCATTATACTCTAGAAGTGTACCAGGCAGGTTCCAGCTCTGACACTTCACTGCTGCTGTGCACTATCTTCCTGACAGCAGATCTGTCAGCCATATCGCTGGTCACTGTACTAAATCTATCTTTTCCACTTGTGTTTAAAAAAAGCACACAAAAAACACCCACAATTTCCATCAATTCATAATCACTAACTGACTCTATATGCAGCTCAATGTTCATATTACACCAAATATATTCTTAACCTTGAAAGACTTTCGCTTTTTCCACTAGTGTATATGTCCTACTGTACCTGCACTTCAACATTATTGTACAGCCATTTGCAGCCAGTTCGTTCTTTTTTTAATTTCTCCCTCTCTACTACCTTTTTCTTTACTGGTTTTCTCACTTTATTTTATAACCTATATGGGGTTTACTAAGTGCACAACCTATCATGTGTGTCTGTGACATACAGCCTTACAGAAAGAAAGAAGGGGGTGGGGTTCTGGTGAATAATACGGAGGTCTTTTGCTACACTTTATTCAGCCCTCTGCTATACGCTGGCTGGACTGTTTTCTCACACTATTTTGCAGTCTGGGTTATTTTTATTAAAGTCTCTAATTTCCTTTTAACTACATTTCTGACACTGAATATATCCAGCATTGAATTATTAACATCAGTCAATAGTGTATCAGCCAATACCATTTGTAGTGCTGAGGGGTCTTAAATGTAAAGAACAACCTTTTAGACAACGACAGATTCACCTGATAAACTATAGCACAGTAAAAAGCCTACTTCCACTGAGAAAACACATTCCTTTCACTGTGGCACAAGTAAAGGTGACTATCAGGTTTCACCAAATGTTTGTGTTTGTCTAAGACTCATTCTAGAGAACCCATTGGTCAGTTATATCCAAAAGAATAAACCTCTTATTGAGTTATTTCACAAAGCTTTGCCCTTTGATTCTGCAATAATTTGACATTTTATTTTTTTATTCAAACCTTTTGAAGAGATTTTATAATGCTGAGCTATTCTTATACATTTGATAGCAAGGAAGCTCTTTGAATATGACATCTCTATGTAAATATATATTAAATAAACTTAAATTGTGCTTTTGCTTCCTCACCATAAGTAGAGCAAACCCAACCCTAAACAAGTAGTTTAAGTTCTAAAATTCAGTGTTGAGTGTGTGGATTTGTGTTTAGGTTAAGCTCAGGTTAATTAAAGAAAAGGGGCTCTGACTCCTTTAATATAAAATTACTGCCATGTGATCGCAGTAACCAAAATAGTGTATATTCTCCCACAGGTGCCTACGTCCCAGAGGGTCTAATGACTTCTTGCTCCTGGGACTACATGACCTTCACCCCTTCCGTGCGCTCCTACACTATGTTACTCTTCACTTTTGTTTTCTTTATTCCTCTTTTTATCATCATCTTCTGCTACTGCGGCATTTTCAGAGCCATCCGACACACAACACGGTTGGTACATGCACAGCTTTGCACGTATGTTTTCATACTCAACCTCAATATATTCACACAGAGATAATCTCTTGTTGGAGTTCCTGTTGTTTGCCATTGAGCTTGAGTTTTTCTGTTTGTTTGTTTGCTTGTTTTTTTTTTTTAATCTTGGATTGCAAAAAACTGTATATATAAAGGTTGTATCTGTGGTTGGCAGAGCGATAACAAAGATCAACTGCATAGGGAAAAGAGACTCTGCGAAGAAGTTCCATAAAATGAGGAGTGAATGGAAGATGGCAAAAATCGCCTTAATTGTCATCTTGCTGTTTGTCATCTCCTGGGCACCTTACTCTTGTGCAGCCCTGACCGCATTTGCAGGGTAAGTGCCCAAATGGCTAAAGAGAAATTATTTACCATCTAGCAGGGTTTGAAATTGCCCACATGGACTTAAACTCGGTGAAGCACTATATTTGTGGTGGGTTTCATTCATAATAGAACAGTCTAGAGATTAATTTAAGATGTAAAATGTCTGCTTGAGGCAAAGGTCCTTTATGCATTGTCCCACAGACTGTTACTGAAGACAGTAGGCTATGTCGGTCAAAAGATATTAAAATTCATTTTAGGCAGTTTGGGTGCATATTTTTTGGATTTAAGGCACCATTACATAAATCTCTCATTTCAACAAAACATAATTTCTTATAGATTATTTTAAGGTATTAAAGCTGCACAGAAAATATAATTTCTCCAGCTCTTTGGTGCCCTGTCAGATTATATTATAGATCATTTAGTTACATTATTTATTAGCATGGTTCCCAGTCAATACAAAAGTTGTGTTTAAGGTGAATATTTGATTTTTCTTAAAACTTGCTCATAATTATAGAAATAAAATTATATTTTCATAATAGGTACTATCACATATAATTTAGAAGGTTTAAAATATTTGGCTTTCTTATTTTATATTTTGATTTCTTTCCTCATGTAAATACACAAAATAAAAATGTAATGTGCAGCGTATGCCTGACAACTTTTAAATTGTGTTAAATAGTAGAATTTTGAGATAAAAGTGTAAAACTTACAGCACCAGCAGGATAAAATCCCCCTACAGGAAACTGTTAATATCCTGTCACTTTAAATAAATTCTGCCCTTTGGTGTCCAGGAGTTCTGAAGGTTCGTAAATGTCAAAATTTAGAAAATCTAATTTCAGTTTGATCATATTCCCCTTTTATTTCTGACAGTTTCCCAGCCGTTCTGTCACAAAACTACCTCCATGGCGTCTGTGCAAGGACTTTCTCCTGATAAAAAGAAATGTTCCAATAAACATGGACATGTTTACAGAGCTTTCCATTCAGTTATTTTTTCACATTTTACTACTGTACATTCCTTTGTTGTCCCATCTTGGGATATCAAAAACAGAAGCAGTTAACCCTTTAAAGCCTGATCCAAGAATAAAACAAAACAGAAAAATCTTTTTTTTGGGTTTGAATTCCTTATTTGCCCTTTTAACAAAATATGTAAAAAGAAAAAACAGAAATACATTTTTGATATTAATAATTTATTACTATGCGATAAGTCAAGATTATTTTTTGTGTAGTCTTCTGGCTGTTATCAGGTATATCTGATTGTGTACAATAGGATATTGAGCAAAGTTTTTACCATTAAATTATGCAAAAGGTGTCAGATTCAAAACATTTCAGAAACCGTATGTATCAAGTATGATACATTTGGCTTTATAGGGTTAAATGATTACATACACATAAATTCTAATTATGTTTGTTTTAACTAATAACAGCAAAAAACCCATAAAAAAAGATCCTAAGAATTGGTCAGATTTATGTTTATTTGATTTTAAGAAATACATTTTTTAAGCTCCAGCCTAGCTTTGGTGTAAATTCCTCTTTTTCTAGCCTCTGTTTAAAATTTTTAATTCAGCAGCGCAAAATATTTTTTGGTCTTAAGAAATAATAACAAAAATTCTTTACAAAATAAATATGAGCAAAGTAAGTAAATGCAAAAAAGTGCACAAAAGTGCAGTGGGTGTCTGTAAAACGGGTTTCTATTGAGATGTGTTTAGGTCAGAATAACAGAAGATTTACTAGTGAACACAAGAGAGCCCATATAGGTATCACACATATAGAAATAGAACCTGATTTCCATCATTGTGCTAAATTCAGGTTTTAGGTCTTTTTGTTGTAAAATATTCCATTTATTAAGCTCCATCAATCACCAAGAGCTCATTTCCTTCTCTCATTTTTCTCCCTGTCACCTCATGTAACTCATCTGTTTCTACCTCAGGTACGCCGACATGTTGACACCCTACATGAATTCTGTTCCAGCTGTGATCGCCAAAGCTTCAGCTATCCACAACCCCATTATATACGCCATCACGCATCCAAAATACAGGTAGGATACACATGCAGGTGTTGTATTATAGAAGGGGTGCAAATAAAAAAAATGAAATTTTGTATTTGTTAGTATTTGTTTTTTCTTTTCCATTGTTTGCTATTTTATCATTAAAAAAACACAAACTGTTAAGTTAATTGAAGGTGTATTTGTTTGAGGGTTGTATTGTGATGAAAATGCAATGTTAAAAACTTCTGAAGCTAGAGTTATGTGGGAAATATCTCACCAAACATGATCTCAAAAATCAATATGGCTACCATAGCTTTAAAGTATAATGATAGCAGCAGGAGGAAATAATTAAATACATTGCCAAGTTAAACCAGGAAAGGTTGACGGTCTCTAATGTCCACCCACCTGGAATGCTTTTAACATAAAATCAAGCAC